GATCATACATTCTGTCAACATGGGCTTTGGGGGGGAGGGGTTATCTTTTAATGAAAAATTAATTGGTTTTCTTCCTTTTTTGTGTATGGATGGCAAATGGAAGATCTGAGGCGGACAGGCATTTAATAAATAGTGTTTGCTGCAAATGGAGATTAAAACTAGAAGTACAAAAGGAACATTTAGACCACTGCCCAGGGAATCTGATCTGTAAAATTAATTGACAGTTAAAGTTTTTTGTTTGATCTTTGGCTTAGACTACTGTTGCAATAGGATTTCAGTTTTATGCATTATCTACATAGAATTATGATGCTGGATTTTGGCCATGATTCTGATTTTATTCATTTATGTTTTTAGCAACCTTAATAGGTTTTTGAAACTGCCACGTTCTACACTCCTTATCTCCCTTTCTCTCTGTCTATAGGATTTTCCTATCCGTCAGTTCTTCAGGGCTTTCTTGACATCTTACTGCTTTTATTTCCATATGCATTTACTCAAGGGAGCCAATCAGAAGAGAGGCAGATTAACACAGGGTGGAATTAATCTTGTCCACTTTTCCATTAATTATCTCCATTGTTGTTGGGAAACAGTAAGCAATGACTGAAGGAGCTCTCTATCCCTCATTAATAGACAGGCTGAGCTTCTAAGACAGTAGACCAGGAGTAGGCAACCTTTCCCCTTTAAGGGCCGAGAGACTTCAGCTCCCAGAAGCCTCAGCCATGTTGGCCAATAGTCCCATGTTGGCCAATAGCTCCTGGGATTCTGGGAGCTGAAGTCCCTCGGCCCTTAAAGGGGAAAGGTTGCCTACCCCTGCAGTAGACAATCATGTGCTCTCCCTGCAATTAGCTCAAAGATGGAATGATCTCTTTTCTTTGCATTTCAAAATGATTAATAATAATCACTTAAATTATGACATCCTCTTGATCTCCTAATTCTCTTACATTGAACAAGTGTAGACGTTGGTTGTCTATGTATCAGGTGGAAGCCCAGGTGGCCACTAAAGCAGCCATACTTCTAATGTCCTTTGCTAAAGTCAATACAAATATTTCCTGCCCTATCTATCTGAGACCAAAGTAGACAGGATACTATTTGTGCTATTCAAAAATAAGGATTCTGTAAATAGTTTTTGAAAGACAAAAGAAATTGCATATGTGGGACTCCTTCCTGAACCTTTAACCCTTTGCAACCGTTGCATGAGGAAAAGTCCCATTTAACCCAATGGTGTCATTTCTAGCTTAGCCCAAACAAGTATCTAGTGCAGGGGTAGGCAACCTTTTTGAGCTGGGAGCCGGGTTGCTGTCCCTCAGATAATTGGGGGGGCCGAAGCACCCTAAATAAATAAATAAATAAATATTTGGACTGGATGGCCCTTGTGGGTTGGACTGGATGGCCCTTATGGTCTCTTCCAACTCTATGATTCTATGAAATAAAAATAAAAATAATTTTAAAAAAATATGCATGCACAGTCTCTCAGCCCCAGAAAAGCCATGGCAACTCCCTGTGGAGATTTTGCCAAGAAAACCCCAAGAACAAGTAATAACAACAATAATCAATATCATAATGGCGGGCAGCGGTGGCGGCAGGACCGGCCTGGGGCCTGTCTAAAAGCCTCGGGGGGGGGGCGCATCCGGCCCCAGACCTTAGGTTGCCTACCTCTGATCTAGTGTTTCAATCATTAGGTGACCAATGAAAAGTATTAAATATCTTGCTACTAAGTCTCATTGCTGTGTGAGAGCAAATTGTCCAGAAAGAGTGAACAATTAATACAAGACAGAGATTTTACATTGGTTGTAGCATGTATGAATAAGAAGCATTATAATTTTAGCAATGATTCTGCCAATTCTGATTTTAATCTTTGCTTTTTGTAACCTCCAAATATTGGATACGCATTTGCACAACCTTTTTGAATTGAAACAAAATTTAAGTATATTGTCTGCAGCTTTTTGAGAGTGTAGAATGGAAGTAATATAACAAAGGGCACCCAATTGCTGTGGAAATGTTTGGATGTACTCCTTCACTGACATTTCAAGGAGATGCTTACTTTATATTCTAACTTTGTCTTTCACACAATGAAAGGAGAAAAGAGAAGTAACTGCTCAATTTTTAGGAACCACAGTTGGTAAGATAAAGGACCCTATAGGTTTATCAAGGTCTTTATTATGTTTGTATGACTGGCCATCAATACATATTCCAAGGATAAAGCAAAGAAAATGTTAAAATGCAACGGACAATAAATGAAAACAGAAGGCAATAGGAATAGCAGTAGGAAACAAAACAAAAAGAACATCATACTTTTTTAAAGCAGCTATAAAAAAATTGCCTTAGTGTTTCTGGTAGGAATTCTATTCTACCCCATCTGCCTAAGAGCCCAAGAAATATTTTCAGCATAGCTTTAAAAGCCTTATGTGAATAGACAGGTTTTCACCTTGTGTCAGAAATAAAATTTGTTGTGTTCAGCTAGTATCTCTGAGGATGGGGCTATTTCCAGGGATAAGTGTTTCTGGTAGAAATTCTAATTGTTTTATAGCTGCTTATAGAAAGGTATGATGTTATTTTTGTTTTGTTTCCTACATTTTATTGCTTTCTGTTTTCATATATTGCAAAGCATACTTGGTCTTTCTACCCTTCCTTATAAGATCTGAAAATCTTGTATTTACTTATTTAAATCAAAGACCCATTAAACAAAAGAGCAAGTAGGACTCTTACCACAGTAACTTCTTTCGGAATCTTCTCTAATTTGTCAACATCTTCCTTAAACTATGGTGTCCAACAGAATACTCTGGCTTCCAATTAAGTTATTCCTAGAGCAGCCCTGTTGATAACAGAGGAATTTAAATTAGTTGTGAATAATATAAATATCACTGATTTCAGTGGATGTACTCTTAAGTATTGCTAACTTGGGATCAAATCCTATAAATTGAAATTGTACCTGCACTTTTGACTACTGGCGTATTAGTGGCATTTGTAATATGGAGAAATATATAAAAACATCAGATTTCACTTAACATGCCATTCATATTTAATAGACTGAATTTTCCATACCACTTGGAATTGAATATGGGCACAGAAAACCTGTGTTTTTTTTTTACAGTCTCACCTATTAAAAGGACCCTTCACTAATTCCACTGAGCACATTTTGTTTACAGTATTTATTTAATGTTTATGCTTAGAAGTGGAATTGTATTGAATGGGAAGATTTTAAGAGTAGATGGCTTGTTTAGAAAGGTATCAGTCATGAGTTCCTGCTGATAGCTGCTCCTTCCTGCCCATCTGCTTTACCCCCAGCCTAATATCATTTTTGGTAGAACTGAGAGAAGAGATGAAAAAAATCCCTGAGAGTATCAGTTTACATCTCAGAGAATAGGTGAATAAGTGATGAACATTTGGGGTCTCTGAAAATTGCTTAAACCTATCATTTCTGGTCTTGCTAAGATGTATTTAGCTCTTTAAACAGAGAGATCTTGGAGCATCTTTGAGACTAACTGAAAGAAAGAAATCGGCAGCATGAGCTTTCCTAGACTTAAGTTTTAACTCTTAAACTCTCTTCTACACCCACAATAACATGAGAAACTTCTGCTTCTAAACTAGCCACAACTGCACAAGTTTGGAAGAAAGTGGGAGGTTTTAAAATCAGCATTGGAAGCTTCTAAACTACTCCTCATAAACACAAATGTTTATGATAGGGGAGTTGCAGTGGGAAACCATTGTTTCCTGTTACATCTGAACTAAGTCTCTGGGTTCTTGCCATGTAGAGCTTTCTCTTCCCTAGTCTCCTGACCATGTCTATCTCACAGAGATTTCCTTATCACTGTAGACTTGCAGTGTTGGATAAGATCTTGGTGACTCAAGAGAAAGGATTTCTGCTGAGATACTGGGTAAGCCAATGAATCTTTATGCTCTCCAATTACTGGCATGGTTTCTGTAGTATTTGCTGAAAATGTTAGTTGTAAAATATTACTCTAAATTCCTTCCACTTTTGCTAATCTTGGCTGAAATGGAATGCAAAGATCTTACGACAGTCATCAAAAGTGGAAGAGTGATAGGCCATGTTCACACAATATTTTACTTGGATACCAAGATTGATAATAGTAATCACATCCTGATGCTTGGCATCAGTCTTTAAGTGCATGTAAATATTCTTCATGGAGCATAGTAGCTGAGCATGCTATTGGTGCTTTGCAAGCAATAATAAATGGGTGAGCATTTAAAATTTCATAACAATTATTTATAAATGTGTCAATATAAGCTTTCAGAAATCAATAACAGCTACACAATAAAAATTATTAATAATGTGCATCTTATACCCTGAATTATCTTACTCACAAAACCATTTAACTTCTTATTTAGTGTTACATTTGTTTATTTTGTTTTCTGCATTGTTGTGGATCTTAATGAATGGTTGCAATGAATGACTTCAACACAGTTACATTTTGTAATATAAATTGTACAGAAGCATGGAAGATTTCCTCTGCTATAGACATCTGTTTGGGCCATGCTACTTGCCCTAAATCATCACTTGACATGGGAGGATCCCACATTTCAAAGAAAAGATTTCTGGTATTTGGAAGTGTTCCCAGTAGGTGGAGTTTACAGAAAATATTCCATTGAAGTGCAATTATTACAAGTGGTTGAAAGTCTCCAGTCCCTAAGCAATTACATCGGCATGTAATATCAACCTTCCATAGATCACAACATGATGTAGTCTACAACTTGTACCATAATCACAAAGCAGAAAATAATCCAGTTGTGAAACACAATGCCTGAGCCAAGACACAAGGTTAAGGGTCAAATCCCATGTGTGTATTATATGCTCGAGGAATTAAGTGTGATGAAGGAAAGTAATTCTAAACTAGGAATTATGTATGTGGGAAACAACCCCCCTCCCCATTCATCATGTGTGTGTATACACATACACACACAGAGAGAGCAAGGCTGTATGCTGAGAAATTTGAGATCACCATTACTACCTCTTAATGCAAACATAGAGGGCTCACAACAGCTTTGTATTTATAGCTCAGTGGCAGTGCCCATGCTTTGCATGCAACAGGTCCCAGTTTCAATCCCTGGCAACTCCAAGGTGTGAAGGCACCTTTCCAGCTATGGAACAGGAAATGGCTCTTCATGCCACTCATATACTGCCAACTTCAATTTGCCACATTTTATAGCCTGCTCTTACAAAGCAGTTTGGGTTGGGCATAGCATTTATGTGCAAATGAAAAGTATTTTGTACATAAATGGCCTCCCCACCTCCACCACTTAAGAAGAAATAAATTGGATTGCTTGTCAAACCAAATTTCAAGTGCAGTGGTGGCTGGTGAATTCTATGTCACTGGATGATGAATCCACTCTGAATTTTGTTCCAGACTTTAAAGGAGTTCTCCAAGATGCTCAACCTCAGGTCACCCAAATAGGTTCAGCACCTTGGATAGCCTTTAAAGTTCAGTTTAAAACCTGGAGTTGATTCAGAGCCCCTCTGACTTGGAGCCACCCCTGCTACTGCTCAACAGAAGACTGGATCTGTCTTAATCAGTCTCAGATTTTTGTCCTATTCACATTCTTAATATGTCTTACGTAGCTTATTTTGAGAAGTGGAGGCTATTATAATACCAAGGCATTGTGCTACTTGAGACAGCAAAAAAAAAAAAAAAAAGGTTTACCCCCAGCCCAAACTACCAGGGACAGAGAAAATTAATTACTTAAATTAGTTGGCCCCTGAAATCCCATGCGTGCTGCTCTCCTCAGCTATCTAATTGTTGCCTTTTCATGATGCCCAAAATCAGAAGCCTGGGGTAACAACCTCATATTCTCTACTTCTAGAGGCAACAGTGTGCCAAAGTTACAGAGCAGTTCTCTTAGCCACATACATCCCATGCCCAAAGTAGTGAGGCAGTTGGGAGGGAGGGGAGAACCTATTCTCTACAAGGAATAAAAACTACAAGTTCTCTAGACTTGCTTCCATCAGAAGGTGATATTGGAAATTTAATTAATTGATGGTTTTTGGCTTTACGGTGCCGCTAACAAACAATGCTTATGATGCAAATACATTGCATACTTTCTGCTTCTCCCTAGACTCAAATTATTCTTAGCATTTGCTGTAATGATGCAGGTACACTGGTTTTACTTAATTACAGTTTACTGTCTTAAGCAACTTTCCCCTTGAGCCAATGGAAAATTATATTGCTGCTCTTTAATACGATTGTGAAAATTAATGATCTTGCGCTATCTTTTAATGTATAAGAGTGAGCAGGACAAACTCTGTACTATCCCATGCTCCAGTTCAAGCAAGTAAAAAACAACAACAAACCTTTGGGAGCACAGGATCTGCTTTTGCTATGTCATAGAGCTAATTTTAAAGACCAGCACAAAATTTGCAGCTGAAGACTACATTAGTTAGATATGAAATAAAAATAAAATGGAATTTTGTTGCAGACACACTCAAGCATGAGCACCTCCCCACCATTCTGCTTTTCTAATGCAAAGTACCAAAGCCATTTACTATTCACCTGAATAATGTGAACTGTCCAGTCAAAGTGAATGAAACTTGACATGATATATCTGGAAATGACACTGGCATCTATTGGCTAATGTCTATGCCACCACTAATAGCAATATTTATAGTGGTAGAATTCAAAAAATACAGCCATGTTAGTCTATAAAATCAGTATGTAAAGATGAATCTGAGGAAGTAGAATGAAGTTTATGAAAGCTCATGCTACCAACTTCTTTCTTTCAGTTAGTCTCAAAGGTGCTACAAGATCTCTATATTATTATTATATTGCAGGATATTTGTATTATATTTAAGAATTATTTAAAAAAAATCTCAAGAGATATCATCACAATAGTCTGTTTGTTTGTTTATTATTTATTTATTTATTTCCAGGATTTATATCCCACCTTTCTCCCAAAATGGGAATACAATATTTTAAAAAGACAGAGCTAAAACATTGATTACAGAAGTTAAAAACATAGATTAAAAACAGCATAGTTAAAAACAGTTTAGATTCTCAGCTATTATTTAACACTAGCTGACATAAAATGGTGGTGATGACAGTAAGTATTTTCAAAGAGATAAATAGTTCCATTTAGGCTGGTCTTAATCTATGCTAATTTAGAGCTGCTCAGAATGGGCCAAACAGCTGCTCTCTTCGAGCAATATGATGAAAGTTCCTGTGCCTATGAAATTCATACTTTTCTAGTATGATTTCTAGCAATGGCCTGCAACTGGAATATAATGGAAGTACAGAGCATTCTCTTTTGATGTGTCTGTGTGTATGTCTGTAATTATGGACAACTGAAGGATATGTCTATTTCAGCAGAAAATATATGGCTATTTCCTAAACGAGTGTTCTTTTGTACTTGAAAATCAGGAAATGCAGATCTAGCAGAGCATCTGTTTTGACTTCCCAGTTTTGTGTGAGGGAGGAAGGAATGAAAACATTTGCTTTGAACTATTCAAATTTTCCTTGCTTCTAAAACCCAGTCAAGTCTGGGGGATGGACCTCTTTCCAGGATCTCTGGGCAGTTCTTCAAAGTTTTGTAGATTTTGTAGGTTTCTTGATTTGGAATTGTGTTCTGTGGAACACTGATCAGCATTTCCTATCCCTACATCATCCCTATGATGCATTTGTATGAAGATTCCTTCAAGGAATCAAGTTGTTTAAGTGGGCTGTACTTTTCTTCACTTCCTGCCCCCCCAAGCAAACTTCTCTCTGTTTGTAGCTGATAATACTGTACCTTTCTTCTTCTTTTAAACTCACTAGGACGGGGGGGGGCTGTTTTGAAGTTCTTTGGATGTTTCTCTTATGCAGATATTCCCAGCAGAGTTTTAAGTACAGCATGTAATCAAAACTGTGATGTGTTTCACAGAAATTACATATCTATTTAAGGTTCAGAAGAAGGGTGGGTGGTGATTTTGCAATTTCATTTGCGTTCTGAGCTTTTTTGAACATTCCCCACAAATTGTGTGTGGATGAGTGAAAATAATCAGTCTTTGCTACCAGGATGCTTAGAAGTGTAAAAAAAAAAAAACGGTAAAATTAAAACAGTGTGAGAAGAACGTGTTTCTAATTAAGGTAACCGTGTAAAGAAATGCCAAACTGAGAGAATCAGTGACTTGGTTTGTAGATACTGTCTGCATGTCAGAGAAGGTTCATTTCTTTATTGATACGTTGATTATCTTCTGAAGAACTCCCCTGTCAAGAGTTTATTACAGGCTGACCCTAATATCAAGCAGGATCAAGGATCTAGCTTCGGGCAACAGATTTTGACATGACTATTTGCTTTCCTTGGACTGGCTAAGTATTTAGTTTCATTGTTATATTTTCACCATCATAAGGTTGGGATGCAAGGAATGTTCTGATCCTTGCCAAGCCTGAAATCACTCCTGAGAGATGCCCATCCAGTCTTAAAGACTTCCAAAGGAGGAGAGTCCACCACCCTCTGGGACAATCTATTCCATTTAGAATCAAAACATTCTTCCTAATGTTTAAGTGGAATCTCTTTTATTGCATTTGTATTCATTGTTTAATATTATAATTTCTGGAGCAGCAGAAAAGAAGCTCACTCCATCTTCCACATGGCATCCCTTAAAATAGTAAACTAGGCCTGTCATACCATCTCTCAATTTTCTCTTCTCCAACAGCTTCCTAAGCAACATTCTCTTATCTAACCGCTCCCTATGCAATTCCTCATAGGGTCTGGTTTCCAGACCTTTTATCTTCTTGCTTTCCCTCCTCTAAATATATTTCACCTTTTCTGTATCCTTCTTGAAAAGTAATGTCAGAATTGGATACAATATTCCAGGCGAGACCTAACCAAAATTGTGATTTTCATTAGTCTGGATGATGAAGCTTAGAATTGCATAAGGATTTTTGCTGCTGCATTTTTGTGCAAAATTGTTTTGCACAGAAAGCCATGTTTTTAATCAAAGTACTTTGGATATTTTATGAAAATTAAATTCTCACAAAGACTTGCAACGTGACAAACTATCAAACAATAATAACAGTGCAAAAATTATAATCTTGACCAATTGGGAGAAAGCTTTTGAAATACATTTTGAATGTAATAATAATAATAATAATAATAATAATAATAATAAGGAAAATGCTATAGGACTGTTATAGACTTGCCATTTGGGTTTTTCAATTTGAGTTTTTAAGACTCCTAATTAAAGATCAGATGTACCAAGTGGAATGTACAACAAGGTCCTCAGTCTTCCAGACAATCAGCCACACTTGCTTCCAGAAAACATCATTATATTTCCAGCTCCCTCTTCATTTCTATTTTTTCTCCAAATAAAGCTTCAGCTTTCCATTCTCACTGACCATACTTGGTCTCAATGGGTTGTTCAAAGTGTGTGTGTCCTTATGCATTTCTGCCAAAGATAACATATATGCACATCTCTAGGTTTAGGGATCTTCACTATTTTTGTTCTCTAAGGAAGTGATAGGTAATTTGAGTAATTTTCTTTCTTTGAGAAAGTCATCAACACTATATTCAGTTTGGGAAATACAATACCTAGTATTTTTTTGCTTAGGAGACAGCAATTTGTGAAGGAAACAGCGTATTCTGCACTGAATAAAATACTGTTATCTGTACAGAAAATTCCGTATATGGAATAAGTCCCAAATTATGAAGATTCTTGTCAGTCCAGAATTCTTCTTGTCAGGGTTTCCCAAAAGGGAAGAAATATGTTTTTAACCTTTTTTGAAATATTATTTCCATCCCTAAATGGCATGCAAATATCTAAATACTTCTGGCTGAAATCCTACATCAAGCAGATGGAGCATAGCACTCTGCCTACAGAGTTCTGTATCCACTTATGTCCTTTTTGTGTGTGGGGGGGAGATGGCATGCAAAGGACTATTTTCTAACATTCAGACTCAAGCCTTGCACCCACCAACAGCTGTCAAGTCCTGGGACAGGCAGCTGCTGCAGTTGCTGTTTCTAACTGATGGGGAAGCAAGTCAAATGATGAACTGACTTGTCTCAGCTCAGATGGGGAAAAATGGGATTGTGCTCACAGGTGGAGTTCCTCCTTATATCAATTCCCCTTAAAGCTATATCTTATAAAATA